GTGTGTTCCTTGGGTTTGGGGTCTCTCCCGGAGAAAGATCTCAGCCGGGGGTCTTTCAATAACAGCAAGGTCCAACTTGGTCTAAATCTCTTCCAGGCAGCTGGGCTGGTCTCAGAGTCTTTGCAGCTTGGATCTGTTTACTCTGGCTCCCAGGGAGGACCATAATGAATTTCTGAAGTTACTTTTTTTTTAGCTGTTTACCTCCTTGTTTAAGGAGCTCCCCTGCAGGATGGAATGTTTGTGCCTCCAGCCCTTGCTCTAGCTCTTGCATTCTTTCCTCCCCCTCTCCTGCAATGGTCCCTGAGCCCTGGAGGAGGCAACTATAGATGTCCACTCAGGACTAAGAAATAGACCCCATGCCACAGTAACAGCTGCTTGTTCTGCGGAACCTCACCAGTGGTTATGAGGTGAGGCTGTCACTAACAGTGTGCTATGGGCATAAACGCAGGTTTAGAAGGTGGTTTGACAGGCTCATCACATCCGTCTAGTAAAACTATCAAAGGTGCTTCCCCACTGGGACCTCTGGCCTCCCCAGCCACAGGTTTTTGTCCTGGCTTACCTTCCCAGATGTGAACTCGCTCTTGTGGAGCGGTCCTTAAATCCAGTCGGAAGGCTGTTGGGCTAACACACTATACCACAAACAGGCATATCCTGCCTGGCATGTCAGTGTTTTAGCACACAGGGTCCATAGCCAAACAGGAACGTTGGTGACAGTCCTCTACCTGCATCTTGCCCCACCACCTCTGGCATTATGAACCCCAGACAGCAGGCTGGGAGTTTCCAGTTCAATGCAGTTTGATTGTTCCGTGTCCTACAATCAAAGGATACACATGTGGTGTCTTCAGCAATAGGCTCTGATTTTGGCCTACAGTCAACAGCAGTAGCAATAGCCTTAATGATTTGCGGGTTCTCGAGAACTTCCTGGGCAATGACTCATAAGGAGGTAGCCTCCCCCCTCACCCCTGGAACTGGGGTATTCATTCAATAACCTTATGGCCTCTGGGAGTGTCCTTTTGGATTTCAGTTAACCTAGCCACACTTGGGTAGTAGGTAGGTGGAAGTACCATTGCACCTGGTTGTCTCTCCCATGGCTTTCCTAATCTGCAAAACCCTCAGAGGTCAGCATTGTGTCCTCTATGTAACAAAACATTTGCCTGAGGATGGGCAGTGCAAGCGACATCCAGAACCACCATCCCATAACAAATAGTGGAGTTACAAAGATAACCTTGGAGAAGCACTCGGAAAGTCTGTTGTCATCTGTTCCCAGCAAGGGTCAGTAGATCCCAGAGGTTCCTGACTAAGAAGATGCTAAAGCCAGACACAGTGAAGGTCTGACACAGTATGAAAAGGTCCCATGCTGGGTAGCTTCTCCCATAGATCAAGGTTGGGTACAAAGCATGGATAGGCGGCACTGATTAATTAGCTCTCCATTGTAGGAGGCTCCCAGACAGCGGGTGCTCCCTTCCAGACCCTAGGCACAAGCCACACCTAAACACCAGAGAAATCCTCCATTAGTCAGGGAAGAAAAGTCAATGTGATTGCTCTGTGACTCAAGCAGAAGCAAATGACCTTTCAGGTGAAATTTTTAAGGGGAGGAAAAGGGGAGGCCTGTGTTAGCATGGGCTAGGATGCAGTGGTATATTTTGATTGGTTATGCTAATTAGGTGAACTAACTGGGGCGGGCTTTTGATTGCTGGACTTTAATTACTTTGATATCTGGATCTTGGTGGTCAGCCTCAGGAGGAGGAAGTGGACAAATAATGAAACAGATCTTGGAGGATAGCTTTAGGAATGTAAACTAATGGTTTTTGGTTTTTTTGTTTGTTGTTTGTTTTGTTTCTTTTTTGTTTTTAGCAAAGCAGAGAGAATATGGAGGAAGGGCAAAGTGTGCCAGAGCTACAAGCTCCAGTGGGCTATTCCTTCACCTGTAATCTTTGGTCATACTCTCTGCTGTGTCAATACATTCCATGTCCTAGAGCTCTTCTTCGGAGCTTCCCTGACTTAATCTGCTCAGACCTACCAGGCAGTACCAAAGGGGAACGTGGTCTTGTTCTCCTCTGCTGCACCTGCTGACTCTCTGGGCTGGCACTGTGGATGTAGCTGTAGCCCTTGCCTCCCATTCTCAACATCCTGCTGTTGGGGAGTTCCAGACTGGGTAAACCTTTTCCACCATTAACATTACCTTTTGCTTGAGGGGAATTTACACTCCCTAGTCTGGGGCTATAATTGCCCACCCCTGGGACAGGCTTGATCCTTTTCCCTTGTATTGTTCTATCAAGGGTGCCTTCTTGTGAACTACTCCTTGGGCCTTAAAGGCTCTGGGGACTCCATAGCACACCATTTAGGTTTTCTTATTTCCTTCCATAAGAACTCCAGCTCGACTCAAATGTAGTCACATTTGTCTTGAGCAACCCAGATATTCCTCTTTCTCTGCTCTCCCATTTTGTTACCTCCTCTAAGTTGCCCAATCACTTTACAGACACTGTTTACATGCTGGTCTAAGTTACTGGATCTACCAAAGCCTTTCCCACGTGATCAAGATACTGCCCACCAAAGGGCTCAGCAGAGTCACTAAAGCTTCATCCCACTGGCAACTTCGAGGTCCCTGATGAATCAGCCTCTTCTTTAACATCTCCATGAACATGGTTCTGTCTGGTCCAGTAAACTGGACTTCAAACACAGCTCCTTCTACTCCTGGTTCCCACCATAGTGTCTGCCCCTCCACTGTGGTCCTCCAGCCCCTGTTAGTTGTGGGGACTTCAGAGGGAGATAACCAAGTCTTCCTAATGGCTTTGCTATGCCGGCCCATCAGTGATGGGTTTCTCTCAGAAAGCCTCTGGTTATGCAGCCTTTCACTTAAGGAGGGGTGGCTACTTACTCAGTTTTCCTGCTTCCACTGCGGTCAGACTGATGCCATCCACTCCCATGTCCCATGGCCTCACAAGTCAGGCTGAGACAGACTGTTCCATTACTTATTTAAAAGTCTTCCCTCCTTCCAGCAATTCCCGCGCTCAGTATTTGCACACTTGTTTCTTGCACTGGACCATGCTTAATCCCCCATCTGCATGCTGGATTGCAGATTCTCCCTCTTTTATACTACAGGTAGGACCTGAGGAATACCTTCTACTGCTCTTACCATCTCCCTCTCATCCTTTTATCTACTTTAGTTGCCACATCAGCAACTGTAGTTGGGGAGGCTATCTGAGTATCCCTTTCTTGTTGCGAACAAGTTCCCGCTAGGCTCTCATCACAGCTTCGGACATATTTCTGCTGCACACAATGCTGGACAGGCAACCTCTGCTGCTTGCTACCAGTCTCCAGTGTTGTGTGCGAATATCAAAGCTGCAGAATTTCCTCCGAACCTTTAACTGTTTTCATCACATCTCCATATTCATGTGGTGGACCCCACTCTTCAGTTTGGCATGCCACCCCACACCACACAAGCAAGAATACCATCCTGGGATTATTCCCACAGGCACACCTAATCCTGATGACCCAGCCTTAGTTGCATGTCTCACTACCCACAGCAAGAACCATGCCACTGCTTTCAGAACACAAAAGCACACTCCACCCATGACACAGGAATGGATAAGTGTGTCAGAATTACGCCCATGACACAGGAATGGTCAAATGTATTGGAGTTTTCCTTCTGGATGCTCGCCCCTCTGGCTGTGCAGCCTCAGTTGCATGACTTGCATGCACAGGAGACCCATGCACTCACTCCTCCTCAATGACTCTTTGATTCTGTCAGGTCTCTGTTTGGGCTCCAATTAAGTTGTTTGACAAAAGTTTATTCTAGGGAGACGAAACACACTCATCTACTCACCCCAGAAAGGGAACCCACGACAGACCAAAGGATGGATACTACTTGGTATCCAGTTTGGCGAATCAAAGAGTTTTATATGGGTTACTTACAGGACTGTGGGTATGGGTTACTTATAGGAGCAGAAACGACTCAAAGACAGCTGCATCTCCAAGGTCCACCCCAGCAGCAACCAACTGGTTAGAGGGTGTCCTTTCCAGGTGCCTTTGTTGGTCTGAACATCATCTAGGAAGCTTGGCTGATTCTGCTTCTTCCAGGCAGCTGGTCTGGTCCCAGAGTCTTGTTTGTGGCTTAGCTTAGCTGTGAGTGTTCCTTGATCTTGGCTCTACTGTATCTCAGAATCTTCTTTGCAGTTGAGCTCTGCTTACTCTCCCAGGATGGGCCCCAGTGAATCTGGTCAGTTTCAGGGAGGCCTGGAGGCTGTAATTTTTAGTAGTTGTTTACTGTCCTGGTTCAGCTGAGGTGACTACAGAATGGCAATTAGTGGCATTGGTGACTGTAAACCCTGCAGTGGGACTGGAAACTCATGGAGGGAGTGCTTGCCCCGGGCAAGAGAAGGAGAACAAGGCATAGTAAAACCACCATACCTTGTTCTCCATACCTGTGTGGTTGAATGGAGGCTGGGCTTACTTAGATGTTCGGGGGGTTGAAGGGTTCAAGATTAGGAAATAGGCCTGTGATCTGTTCATGGCTGGCATGAGAGATCTGGCAGGCCTGTGTGGTTACTGCCTGAATCAGGTCGCACTTGCCCCGGGGCATTCTGGATTGAAGGGCTTATATGTTGAACTGACATTGGTGGTTGCTGGACCAGTGGTTCAGATCCCAGTGATTGCCTTTCCCATAGGCTGGGTTGGTGCGCATGACCAATTCTCACACACTCCAGGTTGTGTAGGGTGACTGGATTTCAACAGGCTTTCCCTACAGGGGTGTCGGGTGCCAGGAGGCAGCCAGGAGCTGGTACGACTCTGGAATGACATCCACTACCACCTGACCATGAGGAGGCTGTGTGTCTCCAAGCTGAGCCCGGGACAGAAGTTTCGCTGTAGGAAGAGGTACTTGATGATTGCCCTCTATGCTTGCGCCATGGGTCTTCCAGGGTTGGGATGTGCCATGCAAACCCCAAAGGGCTGAGGAAACAAGGACAGGAAGTCGCCTTAGCAGTATTTATTACAATGTAATGAACATCATGACTTCAGCATTTGTCACACCCTGGTAGGCCCATCACCAAGTCAGAACTCCAACTGACACCTGTTATATGGTAGCTGGAAGTAGAGGGCTGTACGCAGCTGGCATCCTGACTGTCTCTACTTCCAATCATCACTAGACAAGGAACCTGTGACTAGGAACAGTGAGAGTGAAGCCCCACTGAGTTTTGCATAGCTGTTCCTCACATCCTCTAATCCCTATGTCTGGGCATCAGGCTAGACCCTGGGGGTCGTAGTATGAGAATGTCATCAATATTAGTCTCACCTTCATCATTTATGGAAGAGAAAGCTGTCATGGGATAGTCAAATCACCTGCCTCAGGTTTTGTGTGGGAGATACAGACCAGGGTTCTCTAGACGCTGAGATGGTAGAACCTGTGTTCTTCATCCGGGGCCTCTCACCTGAGAAAGAGGACTGAAGGCATTGATGCTCTGAGTAATGCAGGCTTCCTGAGTCACAGGGTTCACTCACTGTAGGAAGAAGAGGGGTTTTTGTTCTTGACCGGAGAGTATAACCAGATATTGTCAGTGTGAGACAGGTCCTCGGAAGTTCAGTAAGAAAGCATCCTTGAGATAGTGGATATGATCACATCACCCCAAAGGCCGATAGGCCAGCAGACTGCAGCTAAGCAGTCATAGCGTCTTGCCTCCATGTTTGTGAAGTGTCCCCTGGTGTGCTAGGTGCTTGGAGGTTGTGGGTGTAGATCAAGTTGTGATCTCTTACTGTTAGCCAGTGGGTAAATTCAGGGGCAATAGAAAAGGAAGAAAGTTGATTTCTTCCTGTGTGGCTGTTGAGACAGTAAGACGACTGAGAGAATTAGGTCTTTGCTTTGGGGTTGGGAGGAGGGAGGTTCATTTGACCAGATCATAAATGCTACCTGACCAGAAAGTGGACAAGGATGGAGAAACTGTAGGGAACCTTGAATTGGCTCAAGATACCCCCCAGACCAAGTTTTCAGCGTAAAGGAGATTTATTTGCCAAAGAGGGACAGAGGGCAAAGGAATAAGAGAAAAAAGACAGGAGATAGAGTAAGGGAGGAGCAGGGGAAGGGAGCAAGGGAAAAGGGCAGGGATGTTTGTTTTGGAGCAGGACAAAGGACTGCCTCTGGACAGAAAGGAAACAGACGTGGCACATAGGAAAAGGGCAGTTTATAAAGGTACAGGATGCCGGGTGGTGGTGGCGCACGCCTTTAATCCCAGCACTCGGAAGGCAGAGGCAGGCGGATCTCTGTGAGTTTGAGGCCAGCCTGGGCTACATAGTGAGTTCCAGGAAAGGCGCAAAGCTACACAGAGAAACCCTGTCTCGAAAAAAAATTTTAAAAAATGAAAAAAATTAAAAAAAAATAAAGGTACAGGACTTGGTGGCTAGCCTTAGAAATGAAATCTAATGGTCTGTCACAGGTCTGAGGGAATGGGAGAGAAGGGCAAGGCCTGCCAGAGCCAAGCTCTCTGCACTTGAGTTGGCCAAGAGTCCCTTCAGTAACTACACTGGTAAATTTCCCAGGCAGGTGGATGGCCAGTTCAGGAGCCAAGAATTGAGAGGTGCCTGATGTCCCAAGCAAGATGGTAGAGTTTATTTCTATCCCTCTCAAATACAGATCTGTCCTCAGCCTGTGGCCCTAGGAAAAGGTGGCGGCTTGGTTCACCTACCCCTTCCAGGGGCTTCCAGGGAGACCGTCAACCTCAGGACCATGTGGGCAGTGGCCAGAACATGGTCTGAGCTGTAACTGTGCTGGCCAGCCCTGGAGTGTCTTGAAGGCCAGCTGTGGCCCAGGACTGCAGTTGAGGCAGGAGAAGCTCTTTGCTAAGTAGGAACTTCCAGGAGCAGGGCCCTTGGTTCTGGGTGTGTTTGGGCTGGAAACGGCTCTGGAGTCCCAGGTGGATTGAAGTTGGGATGTGTTAGATGAGATGATCTTGGAAAGTGCATGCATGCCACACATCTGATTTCAACTGTTCCGCAGTTAGATAGCCTTTATACACACCATGTGTCCATTATGAAGAAATTCAAAGATACAGCAGGAAAAATCAGCCTACACTCAGAAGGATAGCTGTGCCCGGGGTCCTTTCAGTGACCCTGAATCCCAATGCTGTGTAGAGAGGGGAGGGAGAAACACCTATGGGCTTCCTGCACGCTGCAGGGGCTGCCCAACATGGAGCATAACAGGAAGAATGGCCCAAGGAGGAGAATGGAGAACACAGGAGCTGAGAAGCTGAGTTCAGTGAGACAGGGGCCAAGGGGAAGCCAGTAGCAGTATATATGGGAGGTCGGGGCCATGATCCTGCTCAGTGTCTGAGAAGCTGTGCTGCCTGGGACAAGTCAGGAGGGGCAGCTAGAGGGATCCATGTATAAGGTGAGAGATTCACAGCTTTGCCAGCTCGAGGGTCTGACCTGAAGAAGAAGTGCTGGTGGTGGAGAACAGGGTTAACAAGTCTGCTGTGAACGGGGCAGTGGTGGGGGGAGGGGCAGTCAGTGTTTGTGCTGGACCAGGCTCTGGGGGGAGCCTGTGCTCACTCCCCGGGTGACTGCAGAGTGTGGTGGACCACCAGCTGGCATCCCAGAAAGTAGGAATCAGACCCCTTGAGGTGACTGGGAGTGGGATGCAGGGGCAGACTGGAGAATGATTGTCAGAACTGCTTCCCTGTGAGGTGCCAGGCCCTAAGCAGATGGAACTGATGTCCTATAAATCCTCCTGGCCCTTCTTATCTAGGAACCCACCACCCTCTACCCTCTGCCCTGAGGGCCCTAAGAACCGGAACTTCCTCCCAGAGGTTCGGTGTCATCTGCAAGACTTTGCCACAGGTGTGGGTGCTTATCCCAAGAAGGCCCAGTTGGTAAGGACAACAGCCCACCCCGCGGGACTTCTCTGCTACTCTTGCTGAGCCTTCCTCCACCTAGTAACTGAGTCTCCCCCTGTCCTGCTGAGTAACTCTTCTCTCTATTAGACAGCTCTTCCTACCTCCCCTCAGCTAAGCAGAATTCTCTTCCACCTTCCACCAGGGAGACCCCTTGTCTTCCTCCCAGGCAGGCCCCCCATCTTTTATGTGGCTCCCGCTCTACTTTGTAACTCCTTTAGCAGTCTATGTTTCCTTCTGGCCTCACTGGGTTCCCCAGACCCCTCCTGGAGTGCTGTTGGTCCCCAACTTTTCCCAACCTCTCTCCTCTGCAAGGTTTGGTTTTCTCATGTGGGGCTGCCTACTTCTTCATCTGGCCAATTCCCAGAGGATCCCCAATCCTGCTGTGTGATCCAAAGCTGAAAGACACAGTGTCTCAAAGAAAGTGGCTCCTGGCTGGGGCCAGTGCAGACACTGATCCTGGGGTTCATGGTAGATTCTGGCCCGTTTCCTGTTTTAAGGTCTTGGGTGATCAGAGCATCAGCTGGCCCAGAATGGAGTGGGTGCAGGAGGTGGGGCATGTGTGCTTCGTTCTCTAATTCTTCAGCACATGTGCAGGAGACAAACTGTTTTCCACTGCACCAGTTCACTGATGGCAATCTCTGCTGTCTTTGCAGGGGTGAGGCTGGACTGTGCCCTGTTTCCTATGTGGATATGAGCTGTCCAAGCCCCCTCTGTGCCCCCTTACACCTCAATTGTGGTTGTCTTTTTGGGGGGTTCAGGAAAAACTGGCTTCGGAGACTGGCTTGACTTCTGAGCAGGTGTACAACTGGTTTGCCAATTATCGTCGACGTCAGAAGGCTCTTCTCCAGCACATGCAAAGAGCCCAGGAGACCACATCAGAAGTCTCCAGTGCAAAAGAGAGTGGTCCTGAGCCGGTGCAGCTCTCAAGATACCTTCACGAGTCTGTGGCTGTGTCCCAGTGGTCAGGTGAACATCGCAAGGGCTCCTTGGGGGCTGATTTCTGACAAGATCCAGCTGACTGGCAGTCAACCCTGGCATGGCTGTGTTCATCTGGAGCTGGAGGTGTGGTAGCTGTTAGGAAGGACAATGAGTAGACTTGGGGAGTGAGTTCATCTCTGGGCCTGGGACAATTTGTTTGCACTGAGGTCACAACAAGGGATAAGAATATTGGGATGAGCCGGGCGGTGGTGGCGCACGCCTTTAATCCCAGCACTCGGGAGGCAGAGCCAGGTTGATCTCTGCGAGTTCGAGGCCAGCCTGGGCTACCAAGTGAGTCCCAGGAAAGGCGCAAAGCTACACAGAGAAACCCTGTCTCGAAAAACCAAAAAAAAAAAAAAAAAAAAAAAAAAAAAAGAATATTGGGATGACCCAAGACCAATTCTGATTCCAGTCTGCGGAGCTGCTCTCAGCTGGGCAGGAGGTAGACGCTAATGCACTCCTCTCTGTTCTGCTTTGCAGCCAGATCTGAAGGAAGTGGGACTCTACAGCCCTCCGAGACCCCTCAAGGATCTCAGGGGCCACAGCCCCCAGTTGTGAGCTTTTCTGGAGACAACACCACCTCACAGGCACTGGCTATCAGGTAATGTCATTCCTTCAGGCCCTGGGACGCGTTTCCTCTTTAGTCCCCTCCTCCCTTTGAGTGCAGACCAGAGTATATTTGGACCTTAACTCCGGGGCTGCCTGTGCTAGGCCCTGACATAGTGGATTGCTTTTGTTTTCATTTTTTGTGAGCATTGGTTGGTTTTTTATTTCATGGAGTGAGCAGCACCCTGTATGTACCTCACTGCCTGGGACTCCCCATGCACTCTGCTCCCCTGTAGCAAGGCCTGAGCCTTCTGCATGCAGCCCATTGCTGATTCATCATGGGGTCAGTGCCAGGCTGTTCAGTACCCAGGTGTGTGACCCCAGGTAGGTTCATGTGAGCTCTTACCCATGCAATGGGGATGAGATAGTGCCTGCCATTCAGGCTATGGCAGAGGTTGAGAGAATGTTTAACAAAAGCCCTGATCAGGTTTGAGGTACATGAGCCCTGATGGGATATTCACTATATTGCTGTTGGCTTCTGCCTAATGTTCCTTTGATGCTAACCATCATTTATTCATTTGATATTAGGGTCTTGTCAATCGTTTTCTGTTTTCTGGTTCTACGCAATAGACAATTTTAAGTGTCTGTGACTCCAGGCATGTCAGAGCCAGCCCCTCGGCAACCTCGGGGAAGAGCAGGCAGGGTGATTAATGGTAGTGATTTGCCCATACTGCCATCCTCGGCTGGAGGCACCGCCTAACACCCACCCACATCACCCAGGGTTCTGCCATCCCAAGCACATTATTGGGTTATGTTTCCCAGGTCACTATATGGATGCGAGACGTACCAGGAGTGGCCAGGTCACCATCCTGCCAGCCTCACATCCATGGACTTCGTCTCCGGCCTCTGCCCTCCGGCTACTGGCAGCAGCATGCTTGATTCCTCAATGGCTTCCCATGATTCTTGGATGATGCCCTTTACACTTTCATCCTCTGAGGAACATTTCCTCTCGATGGAGCAACTGGGCCTTACACACCAGCTGGACTCTGGGATGGATCCTGAACCTGTCCCATTAGCCATGGACATTGCTGCCCTCACGGTTCCCAGCCATACAGGTGAGTCCACCTCACAGAGATTGTGCTAGTCCAGCAACTACTCAGGTCCTCAGATGCTCTGTTAGAGTGGCCATCATCTGCTTGAATCTAGAATGTTCAGTGAAACCCAGAGCAGATTGTTCCCACAACTATTCCAGAATTTTTCTTATTTATGTCTCCTAGGGGAAAAGTGCACATGAATGAGAAACAAGGCAGTTAGGAAAGAGTTAAAATGGGAGGCAGTGCCTGCATGCACATGCCAATACTCCCAACTGTCCTACCTAATCTGTGAGGACCTGTGCAACAGAGGAAGGCAGTCTCCTTAGCCATGCCCCTCCCTGCCCCTCACAGCACTCCAGGGTAGAAATGCCAGGAGTTTGCATTTGTTTGTCTGTTGGACAACAGAATTATGCAACTTTGCATCTTGCTAGGCCAGTGTGTTTGCCTGCCTGAATTTCTTTTTTTTTTAATGTTCATATATATTTTTATTAAGAGATTTTCTATTCCTTTTACATACCAACCACAGATTCCCCTGTCCTCCCTCCTCCCGCCCCCGAGCCTTCCCCCACAACCCACCCCCCATTCCCACCTCCTCCAAGGCCTGCATTTCTTAATATTCTGTGAACATAATGCTTCTTTTTATTTCTTGCAGTTTCTACTTGCCTCTTTTTTAAAAAGAAACGTATATTGCCTATTTTTTTATGTTCTCAACACCTTCCAGTATTTCAAGCATGTCATTTGAAAACTCACTTCTGGGAGCTTGCTTTCTCCAGTTTCCAGGCAGATGAGAGCTCCCCAGGTCTGAGGATGAATCTTTATCCCAAAGCTTACATTACCTGCCCTCCTCCCCCCTCCCCCCACCCAGGTGGTACCAATGCTCCTTGCATTGCACCTTGTGTTCTCCCTGCCAGAGCATGAAGTGGCTGATCACATCAGCCTGCATGCAGGGCTCGTGGAAGGTGGACTAGCAATTGGCCAAGGCTATATACTCTCAAAGCCCACCCATAGGAATACACTTCCTCCAGCAAGCCTCTGCCACCTAAAGATTCCATAAACTCCCGACCCCCAGCCTTTGCAAAAGCACAACCAAATGGTAAAATCTCAAATACCTGGGCTCTGGGAGACTTTCTCATTTAAAGCGCCACATGTCCACATGTGTGTCTGTGTTGGGGAGTGTCAACATTAGCCCTGCAGCTTCACTCCATTTATTAAGAATGGAGTAATTCAAGTTCTTCAGGAATGAGAAGAGAGCAGAAACAGAGGTCGAAGCACATATGACATGGCCAGATGTTGTTAGAATCTTAGATGGTCTTTTAATAAAAAACCCAGAGCCAGATATCAGGGTAAAAGCTGAAAGATCAGAGAAGTAGAATAGCCAGCCACTAGTTACTACCTCTATGAAATCCTAAGCCTAAAGAGAGAGTTCTTGTTTCCTCACGCCTTATATACTTTTCTCTGCCCTGCCATATTACTTCCTGACCTTAAAGATTCGTGTGCTTCCCAAGAAAAGGCATGAGCTCAAGTGCTAAAATTAAAGTTGTGTGTGCCAACACTGCCTGACCTCTATGTCGAATGTAGTGACTGTCTCTGTCCTCTGATCCTCAGGCAAGTTTATTAGGGTCCACAATATATCACCACAGCCAGAATGGGCTCTTTGACTTTGGAAGGTCCTGGGCAGCTAGTGGCATTCTGGTGCTCAGGCAGGAGACTAGAGCATGCCTTGCCCCAGGCCTCTTGTTCTGGCTTGACGCCAGGCTCTATTGGTGCTGGCTGTACTACCGCATGGCTTCAGGACAGCCTGAAGCTTGCCTTTCAGGCTTCTCTCCTCCTGTTGCCCACACAAGGATGACCAAATCCACTAGCTCATCTTTAAGAGTCAAGGATCTAATGCCTTATTCAGCTGCCATCAAAGAAGCTTTTGCTTGCAGCTGATGGTAAGAAATACAAAGACCCGGCCGGGCGGTGGTGGCGCACGCCTTTAATCCCAGCACTCGGGAGGCAGAGCCAGGTGGATCTCTGTGAGTTCGAGGCCAGCCTGGGCTACCAAGTGAGCTCCAGGAAAGGCGCAAAGCTACACAGAGAAACCCTGTCTCGAAAAACAAAACAAAACAAAACAAAAAAAAAGAAATACAAAGACCCATGTCCAGACATGACAGAGAGAGAGAACTTGGAACACACAGCTCTAAATAAGATGTCTCTATTAAATCCCTACCCTCAGAGCTCAGGGAAACTCAGGGAGGAAGAGGATGACACTATGTAAGAGCCAGGGGCGATGGCAGAATCCAAGAAAACAAGGCCCACTTCATCAACTGAGCAAAGCTAATAGGAACTCACAGAGGCCAAAGCAGGAAGGACAGAGCCTATGGGTGTGCGCCACCCTCTGTGTATATATTACAGCTTTCAGTTTAGTATTTTCATAGGACTCTTGAATCCGTGAACAAGTGGGCCTCTGGCACTGGTGCCTGCTCTTAGGACTCTTTTCCTTTTGTTGGCTTGCCATGTCCAACATGGATGTGATGGTTCTTGCTTTGTCTTATCTTATTGTATTGTGTCACGTTGGGTTGGTATCTCCTAGAAGCCTGTCTATTTCTAGTGAGGGACAGAAAGGGAATGGATTTGTATAGACTGGGAGATGGGGATCAATGGGATGGAGTGGAGGGAGGGGAAACTGTAAGCAGGAAATACTATGGGAGAAAAGATTCATTTCCAATGAAGGGGGTGGGGCAGTCAAAAGATCTTCCAAGTTGCAGTCTGACCGAGGTAGAGAGAAGGACAAAGGTGAGGGTGATGTAGTAAAAGCTTTCCCGTCAAGAAAATCTTAGTGAAACATGAGATAACTGAAGCAGGCATGTGGCTGAAACCTGAAGCGCAAGATGCATGTCCTGACCGAGTGGGGCTGCGTGTGACTCTGGCTGTGATTGAGACTCTGGCATCAGACTGGTGTGAAGCTCACAGTGGCAAAGCCTGGCCTAGTCTTAACAGAAATGGATTTTCACTTTGGCTCTGGAGGTCTGATAGGCCATAGACGTAGTGGATATGTCCATCCTTTTCTTGAGTGGGAGGCTGAGTCCCAGGGGTGGTGAACTGTGTTTTTGGGTTTTTTTTTGTTGTTGTTGTTTGTTTTTTTGTTTTTGCTTTTTACAGTCCACTGTGTCCTGGAGAGAGTGGCTGTGCCATAGTGTGCTGTGTGCCTTCCTTTCACCTGTGGTTTGTGGAATTTCTTTATCTGCAGGATCTACTGGCTTGTGTGGTAGTCACTCTCAGAGCTTATGCCCAGAGGAGAGTCCAGGAGCAAGAAGTGGGCAGGCAGCTTCCACTGCAGGCTGTAAAATTCATCATCCCCATAGGTAAGCCTGAAGAATCCTGGGCTTTCTGTGGATCACAAGGCAGGCTAGGGCATACTTTGCAGACTCACTGTCTCAGAGTTTGTAGTTCTGTACCTTATGTGTGTTTCTGGAAACCTTAACACTCCTCAACAAAGGAACACCCCAAACGAAAGCACATCCGTGGGCATCCCACACCTCTGATAGTCTGCAGGCTTGTCAGCGGCCAGGTATCTCTTGGATTTACAACCCTCTTCATATTTGTTCCATAGACAAAGGCTGTTGGTTTCTTAGAAGCATAATGGTTTTACTTTTAATGTTCCAAATTGTTGTTTTGAAAGGGCTTGCAAAGCCTAAGAGAGGTCAAGGCTGTTGTGGACTGTTAAGATAGACAGCCAGGGCTTCTGGGAAGACTGCAGAGACTTGGGTGTGTGGTGGAGTAGAGTGTCCTGTGGTAGACAGATAATGCCCAACTTCGCAAGGGATTTCAGACACAGAGATAGATACTGTCCAGTGTGGTCCAGGCCTCTGTGATTAAGAGAAGATGTCCAAGGTTTTCAAGAGACTACAGATAGGGCCAGTGTATGGAGTGGTCTGAGGTCTTGTGGTAGAGAAAAGATGTCAAAAATCTCCAAGTAGGGCGAGAGCTCCGGAAGTTAGAATTGTTGTCTAGGCTCTTCTGGTGGAGAGGGAATCGCTACTGCTCATCCTATTTCAGTGGACACCTGTCCTACCTATACTCAGGGTCACCAAGGCCATGTTTCCAGGTCATGATGGAACCTTCCTCATCTTACCCACCAGGTCGGTGATACTCCAGGACTAGGGTTGTGCTTCTGTTCTATAATGATTAGCTGCATTGCTGAGTGTGACACTATGCTTGGAGGTGATAGGAATAAATGCCTGCTCACCCCAGGTAGGGAACAGATGACAAATACCCATAAAAAGTCCATCTCGGTGAACGAGTGAGTTGACTGGGGTGTAGGTAAGGAGTTGCCTACACAGCAGGCATGACCAAATGCGGTTGGGCTTCACCAAACCCCACCCCAGCATGAGTGATGCCTCATGAAAGCTGGAATCCTGGAACTCTCTCGCAAGCAATTTGACAAGTGCAGCATCCTCTCTAGGCAACTTGGCTCACCAGAGAGGGAGTCTCCTCCAGGCAGCTTGACTGGTCAGAAGCCCTGCCTTCAGCAATCGTTTGCTGCTTCTATAACCTCAGGAAGGAACCTTTGTGAGTCTTAAAAAGTTTCAGCTTCACTAGATGTGCCATTATTTAATTCCCGGGTCTCATCCACCTCCCTCCTTCCTGGAGGGAGTGCTTCAACTCAGAGGAAATGACCCCATAAGAATTCCATAGGATTCCACGTAAATAGAAACAGATACTATGCCCTATGATTTGTGGTCTTTTGTTTGTTTGTTTTGGTAAATAACATAAGGTCTTTGTATAAATCTGGCTGCCTCTAAATTTCAGCTGTCTTTCTGCCTATCCCAGCTGTCCTTCTGCCTTGGCCTGTGGAAGGCTGTGATTGTAGACATAGGCTTCGTGCCCAGCCTTTGGTTTGCCAAGTTTTTATTTTTATTTATTTATTTATTTATTTATTTATTTATTTATTTATTTATTTATTTATTTTGCTTTGCTCTGGTGTCTTGTGCTTAGTGTATCCACTGTGAGATGTGTCCTGCCAAGGCTGGGTTGGTATCAGTGATGCCCTCTCCAGTTGTCCCCTGTGACCTGCTGTATGAGGCTACTGGTGTTAGGATGTTTCCCTGCTGGCTAACTCTGCACAGAGTGCCTTGTCAGAAATAGTCACATTTCCATCAATCTCTCAGAAGGGCTGTGAGGCACAGAGTTAAGACTGTGGGGATCACACTACCCAGGGTCTCCTTGAACCAGAACTTGTTCTGATGTAAGAAGTAGAATTGTATAAGATAGAGCTCTTCACTTTCAGTTCTCTGGAGGTGATGCCAGCCTCATCTGGCATGCCAGCGCCCGTGTCTGTCATGGAGCAGAGCCAGCAAGTGCCTTCCAGCCAGGTGATGTCTTATGGGGTTTGCATGTTTTCTACTTAGAGCAAGTGCTTTTGAGTGGCCCATGAGGAGCAGAATGAGTTGTGGGTGGATGTTATGATATTCACAAGAACTGGGCCAGGGGTGTTGGGGGCAGATCCCTCTCCTAAGTCTAGTAAAGGTCTGATGGGGCCAGGGGGCATGAAGTGGGGAAGGCAGGTGTCCCAAAGCCTGGCAGAACATGCCTCTATGTGTAATGCTGTGCTGTTTTTTTTTTTCCAGGTGCAATGTCCTGGTGGCCAGGCCTCATGGAATGCTTTCTGGAGAGCCACGACACTCCTTGAGTTTTCTGAGGGCAGCATGGGTCACAAGCCCATGTGGAGATCGGATCAGCACATGGAATGAGCAAGTGTGGATTGTGCACCTGTCCCACATTGGTTTCAGAGACTCACCCCGAATAAAAATTGATGCTCCAAGAAATTCCCAAAGTGTTGGCTAGGAAGCCCCAAAGAGCTTCTTGTCATTCCACACTCACTGTTTGAGCAGTTTGGATGGTAATTCTCTATCTTGGCAAAGTTTTTGAGAAATGTTTGTAGTATCGTAAGTCCAATATGGGTCTGCTCCAGTCAGACAGTGATAAAAGTTGAGTTTAGCCCCCCTCCCCCCTCCCCTTCCCGGCAAGAGCTGGGAAGGAGGACTCACTAGATCACAGAAGGATGGCTTACTAGATCACAGGAGAATGTTCCACTGTTGAGCCTTCCTATCCCCACGAACACAGAGCCTCATTCTTCCAGTCATTGTCTTTGTGAGTGAGTATGAAAAGTGGTAAGACATCCCTTTGTTAATGGGACCCCCCTCCTAGAGTGTTGAGGAGCAATGTTGACTGGAGATGGCCAGATAGGGTACAGCAGACTGGGGTTCCTTGCCCCCAGCATTTGTTTCAGAAAGAAAGCTTTCATTAAACTAAATTCATGTTTTTGTATCAAACTTTACTCTGCCCTGACATATGTTTGTATCGATGCAAGGAGATTAACACACCAGCTCTGTGATCCCAGAGCAGAATTCACAGTGGGGAGATGGTAACTGCTCCCTAACCATCCCCTCCTCCAGATGTGACTGTTTCCTCAGCTAGTTCATAAGCACCATTTGGTGGGCATCCCTCTCCTCTGGCCTTTGTTCCTTTGGCTTCGGTTGTTTATTTCTTCCTTGTAAATTCCTGGAAGGTGCATTTCTTGGTGAGTTGCGACCATCTGTGTGATTTCCTGTGGATTCTGGGCATCTGATAACCCTCTGCTCACCCGCACACTCAGGTGTCTGTTGTAGAATGGAAGCCATGTATGGGCCAGAGGAGCTTATGAATGAGACCTGAACTTTGACTCCAAGTCCTGATGTCTGTCCTTCTCAACTGGGCACTAGGCAATCCCCAGTTCTGGAAGGGGAGGCAGGCCCTGACAATGGCCGATCAGAAGCCCAAGTCAGAGGATCTGTTGCCAGTTAACCACTTGTCTGATGGACACAGCAGGAATGGGTCCCTAGACCCCCTTACTGGCCTGACTCCACTAGAGGCAAGAGCATGTGGGGGCAGTGACCTCTGTGCCACAGGAGGCTCCCCCAGTCCTCAGCCTAGGACTTTTGCTATGTGCATCAGACTATGATGCCCAGTGTGTGTTCCTCTTCCTGTGGCCTTACACGATGTCCTCTCAGGGCATTCTCGTGGCAATTCCAGAACTGCCACACATTGCTTGGCCCGAGCTGCTCTCTGAAACCCTGGAGCAGGCCTTCCTGAATCCCTAATCTTGCATCTTCCATACTTATGGAGCCAGCACCACACAGAGACGATGCTGAACCAGGCTCCCCTGGGCCATGGTAGGTAGCATCAGCTTCTGTGTCCTGGCCCTGGGGAAACACTTCCCAGGGCAGTTGACTTAGAGTATCAGGGAATCCTTAGGTTTCCGTTTTCTTCTTTGAAATGCATTTGGACCATCACAGGGTGGAGTCTCTAGTGGGTTGCCCTCAGGATAATGTCCCAGCACAGCACAGGAGGTTTCTCTTTAGTGATGTTGATCTCTGACAATTGCAGCTGGTTTCTCAGCACCAGCCTGATACCTTTCCATCTTGACATTTTCTCCATCAAACTAATGATCTGATTACATTCAACTTCAGATTCACTCAGGTTCTCAGGGCACAAGCCAAAGGAAAGCAGATTCTTTGCCAAATTATCCCATGAATGGTGTTTTGTTGTGCCCAGATCGTAACCCCCAGAGAGACCACCAAGGATGAGCATACCAGAATGCAAAAGCAAGGTTTACTTCTGCTGCAAGTCATGACAGGGAACTCATCTCAAGCACTCACTGGCAGTGAGGCAGGGAAGAGTTACTCTTTCTTGGGGAAGTTAGTTTTTATAGGCAAAATCCATAAAATTTCTTAGAGAGGAAGGGGTTAGTACTGATCCATCCTTGATTGGTCCAGTTTTTCCCGGGCCTGGACTTTGTCTTATTTTACCTTATCTGCTTGCCCTGTCAGGAGTTTTACAACTCATCTCTGGGGTCTGGTCATGTTATCTCTGGAGAGGGGCATTTCATGGTTAACTGGTTACCATCAGACATCCTGACTTTGTTCTTTTGAAAATACCTGACTTCACCCTCTCCAGGAAGGGGGAACTGACTCATTTTTAAGATATCTCTTTTCTCAGCTCTTTTGGGTTTCTGGGGAAACTGTGTCTGGGTCTTTTATCTCCAGTGCTGAGATTAAAGGTGTGTGCCACCATATTCCCATCCCATTTGGTTTTGAGACAGGATCTCTATAGCCCAAACTGGCCTGTGTTATGCCCAGATCATGTCCCCAAAGCCGCCACTAGAGACTTTAGGTACAGAATGCAAAAAAAAAAAAAAAAAAAAAAAAAAAAAAAAAAAAAAAAAAAAAAGCAAGGTGTAGTCTAAGTTTACAAGCCTGGGCAGGAAGGCTCTTTCAAATCTCTCACTCACAGCAGGGAGGTTGGAAGGAGTGCTCCCCTTTCTTTGTGAGGCTAGTTCTTAAAGGCACAGACCATATAATTCATTTAAACCCACCTCCCTTTTTTAGTCTTTTGGTTGAATACCTGACTCTGTGTTTTCCAAAGTCCCTGTAACAGATACAGCCACCTGGGGGAAAAGGGGTCTAAGTTCTTATCTACACTTAGGAATCCTGGTTTAAGCTTCTCTTTGTCTGTAGGGGATAGAGTGGGGGGTTTTACTGAGGTATCACAGTTTGTCCTATCACTGTCGAAAGAATTCTTGTTTCCTCTGAAACTTTGAGCAATGTTGAGGCAGGCAAGCACAAGTTCAGTGACCTGAGACTCCTTTACTCTCTCTCTCTCTCTCTCTCTCTCTCTCTCTCTCTCTCTCTCTCTCTCTCTCTCTCACACACACACACACACACACACAATTATCATATTTCACTGACAGCCTCAGAACCTTAGCTGCATGTACTCTGAACACATACCAAGCAACCTAGTAGCTTGGGATCCTCACCTGCACTGAGCTACACATGGACCCTTCTGAGCAGTGGAATATACCTCTTCCCTAATAAACATTAAACTTGCACATGTTCCACTCAGACACATTCCAACTTATGTCTGGGTGCAGGGCTAAGGAGCGGCCATCCAACTGGAATTGGTTTGGATTCATGTGTGGTAAGACAGTTTCCTCAAGAAAACTGTGAGGGAGAATATCTTATATACCCCTGCTCTAGCTAGGGTTACTAGTGCTGTGATGAAAACCCATGACCATAGCAACTGAAGGAGGAAAGGGATCATTTGGCTGTTGCTTCACAAGCCGGGACAAGGATCCGAGTAGCCTTTGCTCCAGACCTGCTCTCCAGTCTGACTCTTCCATTTTGTTCGGTCTTAGAACCTTTCTGGAGAGATCCTGGGCTTAAAGGGAAGTTGAAAGGGTCCTTGGCTGAGGGTTGGACCGACCATCCAAGGCTCTGTGTACAATTCATGCTGCCAGATGCTCCCTGACGACTGCATCCGTATCTCTCTGGGTACCAACTGAGTGTCAACACGTGGGGACATAAATTGGCCTGGAGTTGGGGAAGCCACAGACTGGCCATTCAAACTCATTCTAGCACAACTGCATGAAATATGTGTACACACACATATTTGTAAGTTTCCTTTTGTTTGTAAAGAAGGGGGAGAAAGCATTTGTGTTTTCCTCATGAGCATTGTAGACCCACACTAGCTGTCACTCACTGGCTCAACAAGTCTTGGGATTGCTCTGTGAGTGCTGTAGCTGCTGGGGAAGAGCAGAAAGCAAATGACTGTATAAACAGTCTGAACTCCACAAATAGGGCATTTCTCTCAAAGGAGTGGGTCTGGATGCTAGGTGTTGATGATCATTCTGGGGGCTCCAGAAAAATACTGTAAGCTCTGTGAAAGTGCTCCTGGCTGCTGTGTGGAAGGGTGACTCAGAGGTGATGTCCATGTAGCCAGCACACTGGGGACAGAGGAGTCCTGGATCATCAGGGAGTGAGGGAACAAAGGGTTTTTTTTTCACTCAATCATTCTCATGCAGGGCCTCCCGGGCCCCTCCCACTTATAGCCCCATACAGCTGAGTCCTAAGAATGGGGCTGCATGTAGATTTCAGAGGCACAGGGGAAGCCCTGCCAACTTTTGGGCTTGGGATCCACTTCCTGGGTTCTAGCCATGGAGAGTTTCCCTGTCTCAGGACCGCTTGGTGTTTTGGAAGCAGGTGACACCTCCTTGCATGGAGCTGAGGCTAAGGAGATGCACCTGGCTCTTATACTTGGAAGGGTTTAGGAAAGGGCTGAGGTGAGGCTGCTGGAACCTCCTGGCTCTTTCCCTCTTTGCCTCCACTCCCTTTCCTCATCTCAGGGAGCTTCAGGTACAGAGGGAGGTGGGACGGTAAAATTCAGGAGTGGCCACAAGGGCCACATGTCTCCAAGGCCTCGTGAACTGGAGGAGCCAAGGATGAGATGAAAAAAGGTGGACCTTGTCTCCTTGTCCTTCCTCCTCACAAAGCCTCCTGAGGGTGAGCTTTTCCTTAGCATCCATGGGGTGCTGACATGGTCTGTATATTCCCAGCAGTGTAGAGAATGTAAAATGATCATCAGGGGCCAGTTTGCATCACGGGAGGATCCACTAAGGAGGGGACTAAGGAACAGACAGTTGGAGATGGGAGGCATAGAGCTAGGAGGCTGGGGATGCTCAGGAACATGGTTTAAATTTGGAAGTAAGAGAATGGATCTGTTGTTCCAGATGTGCTGGACCATCTGTGAGGGTAGGGCCATAGCTGGTCCCCAGGACATTGCCAGTATAACAACAACTCTAGCCACCAGGACCTCCTGCCCTGAGAGCAAAGGGGTGTCCTGCAGCACCCATTTTCTCCCTCTTTGTGCAGATGTGCTCCCCTTTGGGCCCTGGGGTGGCAGAGCACAGTATTTGCAGGGAAACTCATGTCATGGTAGGGGTAGTTCTAGGATTCCAGGGCTCCCACTCC